GATCCCATAAATCAAGGGTAATATTGTCTTTTCATTTTTCATTAGTTTAAAGAAAAAGAAAAATAACACATTTTATATATTCATTTATATATTAATATAATGTGTATACATATATAAAATAACCGTACAACATCCTCCCTTTCCCTACCCCAACACAGAGAGAAGTCTCCATTCTTTCCCGCCACTCATCTCCCCCTTTCCGGCCACTCGCTACTGTCGTAAAAAAACGTCGATCTTCTCTCTCTCCCCATCTGCTACTTCCTGCCCACCATTATCGAACATATCTCTAGGTTGAACATCCACCACCATCTCTGGCATTGTATCGTTTCGATTTACAAGAAAAATATGATTTATACGTAAAAACATATGCGATTTAAACCTTGTTTGTCAGTTTTTGTTTTCGTTTCTGTAAATCGTTTTCGTTCTTTTCCCTTAGTTGTTCATCAATGTAGGTGAAGGTGAAATGGCATGAGAGTTAAGGTGGGTTAATTGTTCACCACCTACAGCTGACTGCTTGTACACTCATCAGATCTGTATACACACATATCCACGATTAGCGTTAATTTATTACACCTTCTTGAACACAAAAAAAAAAAAAAAAAAGGAATACTCCAAAAAAAATGTTCTCTCATGTCTTTACTATTCTCCCAATGCTCCATACAGTGTTGGAGTGAGGAAGACAAGGGTAGGGAAAGGGAGGCGGTGGTGGTGTATTTGTTTCTCGCCATAGATGTGTAGCGACCGGAGCAACAGTTGCCGACGAATCCCCTCCCCCTTCCACACAAAAACCACTGTCCCTTACACCAATCTAGAGTCTCCATCGACGCATTCACCACCACCTGCAAGGTTGCAACTACCTGCACTCCCTTCACCACACCACAACCCCTCAACCCAAAGCCACTCCTGGTTTATGTTGCGCTTCACAACCCTGAACTTGAACTCAGTGCTGCAAACCCTGGTTTACCTCCGTCATGAATTGTTAGTTTACGTTCTTCAGTGAAATTGTGATGAACGTAAGGGAAGAAATGAAAAAGGAAGGGATTAGGTCACATGGGTGAGATCAGATGCATTTGATGTTGACGGACGACGAAGTGAGTGGATAAACAAATAAGTCGCCGGTGGGTGGGACTTAGGAGGAAGAATCAAGCGTGTGTAAATATATCTATATATGATATATAATCATAAATATATAATTTGAGAATCATAAATTTTTTAAGTTTTTAAAATGAAAAAAAATATCAAAATTACCATAACACCTTTAACTTAACACAAAGTTATGGTGAGGGACCCAATCCATAACAAAAGTGCAACCACGATGATCATGGCTATAACTATTTTATTTGGAGGACCTAGCTAATCTATAATTTTCATATAACCACATGAACATTTTATGTTTTTAGGATGCTAAATTTTTGTTTTGTTTAAGGAAATATGAAGACGGTAAGAGCCTAATAAATAATGAGTTTACCAAATGCCCATTAAGAGGATAGTAAGAGATGTTATGCTATTTTCAGAAAAATCAGTCTAATATCTTATATGGTAAGACATAAGTGATGAATAAGATGATTAAAAATACAACATCTTACTCATAAGCCCATATATTTCCTCAAAAGACTCTACTAAACCTTATCTTTTATTGTCATCTCAATTTTGTCATGAAAACCAATATGTTACAATTATTTTCATCCTTGATTCATAAACCAACTTGTCATCAACTTCATTGATAATTTGTAGGTTTTCTATTACTACTTCATTTACAAATTTATAAACAATTTTATTTCCACGGTGGAAACATTGAGATAAGTCAAATCAGCAAGTGTTTACGCTAACTCACTCTTAGAGCCAACATGGTTGTCATGGCAATGAGCATGGTCAACAAAGGCACAAAGTGCTATTTAGCTTTAGTAGGTTGCTCTTTGTGCTTTAGAAACAACTATATACTTTTTCAAACATTAGGCTTAAATCAACGATCTCATGACTGTTTGCTCCCTGTTTCTCTTAATCGATCTCGCCATCTGCCGTTTTCAACAAAATCACTCCCACTTATTCAATTGATCGATCTCATATGTTGCCCTAAATCTAAGGACCGTTAAACGCACAATCGATCTGCTTCTCCTAAGTCCTAATCGATTTGCTAGACCTAAGCCCCTAATCAATCTTCACCTGACTCCTACCTCTATATCCATTTGCAAATCTGCTACCTCTTGAGTTCTGTTATCCGTGGAGTAGAGTTGTGGATTAGGTATTCTTTCTTGCTTAGATGATATAAAAAAATTAGAAATATGTTGCATTTGTTGACTATTTCTTCCCTTAGAAATATCTTGCATTCTTTAATTCTTTTTTTGTTAGATGATAAAAAGAACTTAACAAGAAGAAATATTGTGATTTGTGAATTATAAATTCTTAAAGAAGTAGAAACATCGATAATGCATGTGATGATGAAAACATTGATAATGCTGGTGATAATAAAACCATTGATAATGATTGTGATGATAAAAACATTGATAATGTTTATGATGATATTTTTGCTTCGAAAAACGAACAAAGACATGTTTTAGGTGATGTATTTACAGGGTTTTGATTTATATCCCCTCATTGTCTCAATTTTGTTATTTAAATAAAAATCAATGTGGGTATGAGTCGCTTAGTTTGAGTAGGTTTCAAATGGTTTGTTTTCTTTTTCATATGCGCATATAAAGAGGTGTTTTTGGCTTATCACGATGGACATCAGAAACCTCATGACCGATTATGTTCCCTCCCATAAAAATAGACTTAATTGAAATAGTAGCACATTAATATTACAATGCAACACAAGCCAAATCCAAAAAAGAATCGGATTTCGTATGTGGTTCTTATTTTATATTTACTCGATTTGTGTTTTCAGTAACATGTGTGGCAAATATCTATATGTACATCGTGCCACAAAATATGTACGAATGCCATATGAAGTGTCATTTAATCACAACCATCGCAATTTTATTATTTATACCATGTTAACTGGGCCATCCGGTATCACAGCAGGCCACCGGGTTACAAATTACAAACATGAATGAGGCCCAAGTCCAGTAAAATAAGTCCAATATTATTTTAGGCCCAATTGATCCTGAAAGTGAATAGACTCAAAAACCCTCCATGAAAGCAACAAGCCGACATGATCACCTAACCTTAAAAAGGTGCGTGGCCTACATATAAGAACCCTCGTGACTGCCATAAGCATTTTGAACCATGAAACAGTACGTAGATGTATTTGATTGACCAAAAACATCTATTTACTTAAGGGACGGTTTGTCAGTTACAGAATGCTTTGATGTATAATGATTAATAATATTTTATGATATAATGCAAAATTAAATATAATTGTTCGATAATTGTTTACAATGAAATTAAGGTTCTGAATGGTTATGGGATCATGATACAAAATCATTAAGAGACAAACTTTTTTTTGTCAAACAAGATTCATCTTTTAACGATTCAGAGACTACCTCTTAATGGAACTATTAAGCAGCGGTAAATTAACAAACATCCCCTTAGCTTATGATTGATTATTTTATATTTAATTGTAGATCGTTTAATTTATCATAACTATCCTCTATAAAAAAAATTGGTTTAAAGATCAAAATTTTGTAGATCCCGGTTATCTCTTTCATCCCAATCAAAATCTATGCTTTCTAGTTGTTTTCTATTTTATTTTTAATTCTTAATTAATTTTAATGTTTGTACAACCTCAAAAAAGCCGGGTCAAAAACACGGCAAATGTTCATGTTTTAGAATATATTTTAGATAACGAAGATGATTATTAGTTTGTTATTAAAATATATGACAGGAAAACGCTAATAGCCCCACTAGAAGAATATCAAAAGCATATAGACATTGTTTATGGGGGTTGGTAGTTGAGGTAGTGACATCTCGTCTTGTAAATATTATTATGATTGACGGTAGATGATTAAACAAAAACTAATAACATATAGAATTAAACTAAAAACAAAATTTATAATTAACGATCATTCCAGTTTTTTCATTTATCAATTAACTTTATACCCATCATTAAAACGAATGGTCTTAGGTTGTTTTGATTTTAATTTTTGTAAATAAAACACAAAAACAAAAATAAGATTTTCACAGAATTTATGTAAAAGTTTGGTGTTATTAGTTGTAGATATGTGTTATAAAAGCAAATGTGAATGAGATAACAAATGGTACAAATTTCAATCATTTGTATTTTGGGTATTAGAGTTAAAAGAAATGGTTTTATAAATAAAGAAATGTTATTTTTGGGAATTTGGGATGCAAGCATGGGCAATGCACAAGGTTGTATGGGAAAAAGAAAAAGTGAAATAGGAAAAAAAAGGAGGATTTGATTGAATTTTAAATAGAAAAAGGTGGAGAGGAATTAGGAGACCAACAATTAATTTGTTAAAAGATGGGTTTTTTAGGTTGCACCTTTTCACTCTTTTATCACGTTTTTAATTCTTATTCATCATAAAACATATCTATTTTTGTTTAACCCTCAACATTCTCATGAGTTTTAGAAAAAAATTCTCCGATTAACAATCAAACCATTTTTTAATTATACGTCTAAATCAAATCATGTCTATTTTGAAACACTAATTGTTTTTGGAGGCGGACCTACTAACGACAGAGCGGTCGCATGCATCTATTTACCGATTTTTATAATAGAATTTTTGTAGGGATATGAAAAATACATCCACTAAACTTTAACGAATTCTTCGGTATATTAACAAATAAAAACGTTTAGTTCATCTTAAAAATGCATTCATGTCATGATAAAATCGATAATTGTTTTAAATCAAGTAATTTTCCCCTTTGTTGAAAAAATAATTCCAATTACCCCAAAAGCACAAACACATCCCTTCAAAATTCGATTTGTTTTGCCATGCCCAAAAAACATAAACACCCTATGATCCACCATCCTATTTAAGGCCAATGAAAACGCACACACTCATACACAAAAACCTTGTTTCACAAGACATATTTCATTAATGGATACCATGTTTACCAATGTCACCCTCAAACACCAACAGTTCATCTCCGATCATCAATCTTTCAACTCCACCCTCACAAGTTCCGGCAGTTCTGGATCATCTGCTCATGATCATCATCAGACCACCACTAACCACCATCATCATCAACAATGCTTCATGGAAGAAGCTTCTTCTTCATCCTTAATGCAACAACCCCACTTCCATTTCCACCACCAATTTCCCACTTCCACCGCCACCGCCACCCATGATGTCTCTCTGGAGTTCCTCGCTTCATTCTCTACCAACGGCTGGGCTTCTCATGTGTTATTGGAGGCGGCGCGTGCGGTGGCTGACAAGAACAGCTGCCGCCTGAACCAGCTGATATGGATGCTTAATGAGATCAGCTCACCCTATGGCGATATAGATGAGAAGCTTTCGTCTTATTTTCTTCAGGCGCTCTTCAGTCGCATCACGGATTCCGGTGACCGGAATTACAGGATTTTATCGTCCATTTCGGAGAAAATGTGTACTTTCGAAACAACTAGAAAGTTGGTGCTGAAGTTTCAAGAAGTCAGCCCTTGGACGACGTTCGGACACGTAGCGTCCAACGGAGTTATCATGGAGGCGTTCGACGGGGAGACCAAATTGCACATAATAGATGTCAGCAACACCTACTGCACTCAGTGGCCGACTTTGTTGGAAGCCATAGCCACCCGTACTACAGAGGAAACACCTCACCTACGTCTCACGACGGTGATCTCCTCCACCCCCAAATCTGACGGCAGCGACGGAATAGAAATGATCATGCGAGAAATAGGGAATCGGATGGAAAAATTCGCTAGGCTAATGGGTGTACCGTTTAAATTCAATGTAATACACCATATGGGCGATTTATCCGATTTGAATTTTAGTCAATTGGATATCCAATCTGATGAAGCTCTTGCCATTAACTTGAACGGTACGTTACGTTCCGTTAGTAATCACCGTAGGGATTATTTGATCTCGATGTTTCGAAGTATGAACCCTAAAATCGTGATGATCGTTGAAGAAGAAGCTGATTTGGATGTGGGAATTCATGGGATTGAATTCTTGAGAGGGTTTCAAGAGTGTTTGAGATGGTTTAGGGTTTACTTCGAGGCTCTTGATGAAAGCTTCCCACAAACGAGTAACGAAAGGTTGATGTTAGAGAGGGAGGCGGGGCGAGCTGTGATGAACTTGGTGGCATGCCCGCCGGCGAATTCCGTGGAGAGGCGGGAAACGGCGGATCGGTGGTCGTGTAGGCTTCGTGCAAGTGGGTTTAGCGGTGTTTCATATAGCGACGAAGGGTGCGACGATGTGCGGGCACTGTTGAGGAGGTATAAGGAAGGGTGGTCAATGGGTCGGTCGGAAACGGGTGCCGGAATATTCTTGATGCGGAAGGAAACAGCGGTGGTGTGGGCTAGTGCATGGAAACCTATATGATTGTGACTTCCACTAAAAGTAATAGAATATAGAAAGGGAAAGGGAAAGGGAAAGTGGAGTTGGTGGCACGTGCATGGGATGATAAGGGTTTGATCTTGTAAATCAAATTATCAAATTGTATTAATTTTTCTATTTCTTTTTTTGTCATTATGAAAATTTTCTTGCAACATTAACCAAAAGTTCAATTTTAATCTTTACGCTTGCAAGTTTCAAACATATATCCTTCTTAAACTTAGTTTTGGTCATTTACATGTGATTTCTCAACCATTTTGGTTCAAATCCAATTAAATAAGAAATATTTTAATCATATTTATTAAAATTTTAAATTATACCAAAAAAGATAAAAATGATGGTTATCCTTTTTATTTTCTATCTTGTTTTACAATTTTAAATTAAAAATATAATATGTGTTTTAATTTTAATATAAAAATTAATAAAACAATAAAAATGACTAAAATCCCCCTCATTTAGCTGAAAAGGATAAAGACCGTTAATTAGACTGAAAAATCAAAACCGATGGAATAAAACTAAAGTTTTTAAAGTTTAAAGTTATAAACATTAGGGATCAATTAAAACTGGATTTCACTCTTATGAAAACCAAATTAAGTTTTCTTTGATATTTTTACATTTTATTGCATTCACCATTCTAAAGGGGTGTTTGGGGTTGCTTATAAAAACAACGTATTTACTTATTCTGGTGTGACACCGATAATAAACATTTTTTAGTGTTTGGATAAACAACTTATACCGGTGTGTCAAACCGGTGATAAGAAGTTTTTAAAGAAGTTAAACTCTTCTAACTTATAATAAGCTGATAAGTGATTTTGTAGAAAAACATAAATTGTTTTAAATAAGCAGTCCCAAACACCCCTAAATACTTTATAAAATTGTTAAATTATTTTGTATCGTATAATTATTTTATAGACTACTTCATTTTATAAAGCATACTTTTATAACCATAAAACGCTTATATTTTATAAATAAGTCTTTTTTTTAAATATAATCTAAAACTGTAGCTTGATTGTCGAGAACACAAATATTTAATAATATATGTTAAACACATAATAATATATAACATTATAGTCGTTCATCTTATTAGGTGTGTTTGGGATTGCTATATGTATTTGAGCATTTGCAGATGAGTTGTTGAAAATCGACTTTGTCAAGTAGTTGTCGTTTGATATTCTTATTTCGGGTTGGATACTTTCTAATCTCTCTACATTCATTAACCATAACATGTTAAAACAACGACTCACAAGAAGGTCCAAATCCTGTTCGACAATGTGCAATAGAGATCATCATCTCGTCCATTTTGAAATGTGGTCACCAAGTCTACAACATCAAACCATGAGGATCGATTTTTTTTTTACAAGAATATTTCAGTATCGTGTTTGTTGGTTGTTGGTTGTTGCTTAGTTTGCACTCATCAATTCATACTAGTGATCTCGATTGTATGGGCATATCAAATTATTCTAAAGTTTCACGGTTGTTGTAGTTTTGATGTTTTCTACTACCTTAATATGTATCTCAGTTTTGATTCTAATAGAAAATGTATAGTTTCAAAAAGGATCACAATAGATAATTTTAACGCGAGAATCAAACACATATCATTGATGACCACTTGAGTTGTGGCGCACTGGTTAATGTTCAGGGAGAGGTAGTGGAAAATCTTACATACTCCGGACTCGAATCCAGACGCTACCAAAGTTTTTGTGACCATGGAGGTTCACCCGCAATGAATTCAGACCATTCGTGCTACAATCGTCGAGTTGAGGAGCGAGACTAAAATCGACAGTTAAGGAGACTAATATCAATACAATTATAAACATATCAATACGTAATTGACTTTCTTGTAATAAACAAAAACACCACTAAAATCAATTACAATTTCATGTACCTCACGACTCACGTACAAAATGTCCTTTTTTGTCTTGATGACATTGACACCTTTAATCTTATTACTGTATGATATTTAAATATGTTATCCATCTATTCAAAATTGATCATTTTTTTTTGGAAAATAAATAATATTGAACAGGATCAACATGTTTGACTATTTCTATTAAACGTGTTATATTTTACATCAAATTTATACAATTCTTCTCCGGGGACGTACCATTTTTCGTTAATGTTATTAAATCATTTGAATGTTGTTAATAATTAAACATTAAACCAAATGGTCTTTGGCCTAGCGGTATCATAGCGCTTGGCCTCCTAAGAAGTCAGGGGTTCAAACCTCACCATAGGTGAGGAGGGTGCGTGAGTTTATTTGTTACATTTGCCGTATATAAATATTATATACTTCAAAAAAAAAATTAAACATTAACATCATTGTAATATTATTTATGTTTACATTTTTTGTTGATAGATTTAATAGATACTATATTAATAAGCATTTACACCAAAAGTCTTAAATGCAACCTATAAAGCCCAAAGTACTACCTTTTTATGCATAAATTTCAAAAATCTCTTAATTACAACTTCATATGCATAAGGTACAATTGTTGATGCACACCAACAACAACATTCAAACTGAAACTTACAACTTTGATTTATTTCTTTTCAGCTTTTTTCCTTCCTTATTAAGAGCTTTTTTTTTAGTATCTTCACACCATTCTTTATTCATTCAAACTTTTATTTTAGCTAATTTTAGCTCTTTTTTGCAAAAAGGTGGATATTGGTATCTATTTCGGTTTGTATAAGATAATTTTTTTTAATGTATTCACTATATATTTGTTTCTTTCTTCATTATAATTATTTGGACAACATAATTGATTTCCATGTTTGTGTATAATAAAATTCACCTTGATTCCTTATTTGTTACATTGTACTTGATTACATCCTCTTGCATAGCACGAATACTCAACTATAAAGAATCAAGGTTTAAATATTTCTAAGGGTTCCCCTGTAACATCGAATGTTTAAACATAAATTTTGTACTTTTTAATAAATAGTTCCACTCATTTTTAGTTGTAGGCTTATTTGAAAATTTGAAATCCCGCTGTATTACATAGGTACACAACTAGTATATAAAAATACATTCACAATGTTCAGTTTTATATTAAAAAACTAATCATAATCTAACACATAAGATATACCAATTTGATGTAAAAATCCAGATTGTTTTTCAAGGCCCTGGAAATGGCTGAACGAACAAGATAACTTGAACAGCTATGGCTAAAAAGAAATATATTTAATACTAGATGCAGATGGGTTACGTTACGTCTAATTTCTAAATACCATCTCTTTTATAAAAAGTGGGGTGGGCCAGGGCCCAAAACACATGTTGGTAACAGGCTCATGTTTGAAGATTCCATAACAAGCTGGATTTTTTTACCTTCAAAAAGGTAATTGAATTAGTAAACTATTCCTTTCCATAAAACATTATTGTATATTAGTTTTATTTAATTATATATTTGATGAAGTTATTAATATATATATCAGTAGAATTGGGATCGAACAACCTGTTTTCGTAGGATCTGTGAGATCATTTCTTTACACTTGAAACTTAATAGTAGAACACTGTAAAGATAACGTTCACGGTGTTTTTTGTTCGGATTTTTTTACCTTTATAATATTTTTCTGTGTTGTTTCAAGTGTAAAAAAATGTTTTCACGGATCTCACAAAAACAGTCTGGTCTCATGTGAACCCAACTCTCAGTATTTTATAATTTGTATCTTTTTCATATAATTTACTTTAAGTTAGTTACACGGAATCATGTGTTTTTATAGAGTGAATTACATAAATAATTTATAATGTTTGGTGAAACTTTATCAATTGCCATTGTGGTTCTGATTTTGCAGTAGATACATCAGAGTTTAATTCACTTGCATGGATCGTCCTCTCTCTAACTTCCATCAAGTTGAGCCGTTAAATACCCCCACGTATCAGTCATATGAGAGGTATTTCAGTCATTTTTATGTCTTTTATAAAAGTAATTATTGCAAGTATATAAGCATGTTTACAAGTTTTTAAAGCATTTATAAGAAAATAAACCCATACACCTCTACAAATATGTGATCATTTGCAGGCTTGGGCTATGCCTAACTTGTTTTTTGTCTAATGGGCTAATTGTAGACTCAGACCCTTTTTTGGGTTTAATAACTTGAAATTGTCCGTCCTATAAACCGGCCGAGCTTGCTTACGGCCACGGGGTAACGGGCCTAAAAATGTAACTCTTATAAATCTATAAACTTGATCACTAGCAAATTACCAAATATGAAACCAACAAGTAAAGAAAAAACACCATTGCAATTAAAATTTTAAGCAACTAAAGTGATACATGGATCTCAACAATTGGAGAATGAAATGAAAAACAAACAACCCCTTAGCCTTTTGGATTTTCAAGAATAATCAAAGAGTCTCATCCTATAACTTTAATAATTTAATTTTAAAATATAGTAGCATAATTTTAATTAATGATAAAAAAATGTTAAATTATAAAATATAAACGGGCTCAACGGTTTTGTCCATATTTATTTTTACATTATTTATGTGTGTCCGTTAATTTTAACGAATAAAATTGGACCTGTCCATTTTCTCAATAATGGCTGTCCAAACTCCAAATCCATATTCCTAACGGGCCAGGACTAATGGGTCATCCCGGCGGCCATGAACGGCTCTGCTACCAAATTCCAATGAATGCATGTCCATCTCCATCTCCATCTCCATCTCTAACCTATCTTCGTCTTTAACAAATAAACCCTCTCAAATCCAACTCTAATGCAATGTGTTTCAAACCAGAAGCAAAACCCAAAACCCATTTCGTCGTGTTTCATCTTATATTATAGCATACTAGAAACCAAAATCCGATCCACTGTGCTTCATCTTTTTGTTTCCAAAACCCATTTCGTTCGACCAAAAACCCACAAAGAAGAAGCTAAAAGGAGAGAGAAGTAAATCTCCGATGTTAATTGTGGTTCGATCAATTCCAAATCTTGAAGGAGATTGATGGTGGGTGGTGACGCTTCTTGAAGGAGATGGAGGGGGTGGTGGGCATTGGTGGCAATGCCTGAAGGGAGGGA